CTCCTAAAGCCAACTTTTCAAACAACACCTATCCAAGATTAATCCATTGTTAATACCTTATTCTTTGGATATAACTTTCAATAATAACCATAAATCCTTTTACCAACTTCTCCTTTCAATCTCAAATCCAAAAATCAGCAACTAAAACCCAACCTAACTATGAGTGTTAATCTACAACTATTTAAGGGTTTAAGCAAATTTACTTTGGTGAGCTTGAGAGTACCAAAACCACTCCAAAAACTTAAGTTTTAGAGAGTAAAAAAAAATTCAATGATCCACAATTTATGGAAATCAAAACCACAAGTTTAGATGTTTTAGATGAGGAAACCTTAACCAAAGTCTTTGAAATCAAAATCTTAACTTCATTATTCTTTTAAAAAGCTTGAATCCCTTGAAAATGATGAGGGAGAGAAAAAAAAAGGAAAGAGAGAAAAAAAAGGCTGGGAAATAGAGAGAAAACGTTTTTTAATCATTTGGGGCAAAGTTAAAGGTTTTTAAGGCTTAAAATATTAGGAAAAAATAAGGTTTTTAACTTATAAGCTGCCCGATATTTCACTTATAAGATGTACTTTCGAGCTTCAAGTATTGATACCTTATTAACAAATATCAATACTTTTGTTCTATGATATAGTTTTCAAGACCAAAACCAAAACATTTGACCCTTTATATGCCTCAAGTTTTAGACAAACTCATTTGAAAACCAAAACACCCTTTTCTATGTTGTAAATGTTCAAAAACATCATTTGGAAATCATTTTTCTTTTACATGCTCATCAAGCTAAGTTACAAATTTAATCTTTCTCAAAGGTTGGGGTTTCACAGACTCACTACAAGTAAAGAAGAGATGGCTGGTACTTTTCTGTTCCTTGTTGCACAGAAGACATAATTCCAAACATCTACTTAGCGCTAATCTCTTTACTAATTTCTGCCTTACAGCCACTTGACCCATTGGCACCTGCAAAACGAGCACCTCCACTTTATGAGGTGCAAAACCCATCTAAATCTTCTCCCAATAGTTTGCTTTCACACTATTACATGTCAAGACAATTCTACTAAAACATTTTACAAAGTAGCTACCACTTATCGAGCCTTTCCAAACCATTTTGTCTTCTATATCCATATGAAGATGGAACTCCCACTTAACATGGTGCAGGCGGTTCGATTAATTAATCAATCTCCCAATCAAAGAGGTTTCCTCTAAGACCAATCCTTCATTTCCAATTGTGGTTCTCCTGTAGGTCCAATTCATTTATTTTGCCTACTTTATTGACTATAAGTGAAAATTTTGTAGGGAACTCTTATCTAAGGTGCATACTTTTGATCCATTCATCGGTGCAAAAGGATTTGCTCCTTCCTTTCCCCACTACATATCCCAATCCTTTTGTAACACTTGGAGAGTATACATTATTTCGAGAAAAGAGGACTAATTATGTTACACCATAGGGTTGATACCATCATACTACTTTTTCAAGGGCGACAATAAGTTTGAAATATTGGCATTACTTTTCTCCGCTATAATGGTTCTCCAGAACTACTTTTTTTAATTACCGTATCTCCATATTTATTTTTTAAGCAAAGTTCCACTGTTAATGCGTAAATCAATCACTCCAAGTACACCGTAGTCTCTATAGATGCAGATCGACTCCCAATTAACGAAATGTATCTTCAGGTTTAATGATGACCCATTCCATAGGAATGTTGTTTGTATTTTTATTTAGTTGCTCTACTACTCCCTTGGGAATTTATATAATATAATTACTTTAGTAAAAATGAAAAGGAAAAGCAAGGAAACAATGGTGCATAACGGAAATTTACATAAAAGAACAAAGAAGACAAAGCTATAAAAAAATAAAATATAATTATCAAATTGGTAGCATACTTTTTACTTATTTTTCAAAAATAGAAAAGAAATAAAAAAAGTGAAAGCAAATTATTAAAATATGAAATTTTAGCCGTATAAAAATTTAATGAATTAGCTCTGGGCCAATGAATCAGACAAAAATTTTTAAATTTTTTTGAAAAACAGTAATTTTTTTTAAAATTTCAAAAGTTAGTATGTCATAGTAAGTCCTTAAAGACTAGCTTTGAAGTTTGAAAATTCTCTACAATGACAAGGTAATTGACAGCACCCACTCTCTACTATGTCCTCTATGAACATGTAAGCCTAAGCTTTTCTAGTGCAAAACAGCATACAGCAAATTTGTTGAAGAAACTAAGCAGGCTTAAAAAAGAGCATCACAAAAAACATATTAATGGTAAAGTAAACAGCACTAGCGGTTTGCAGACCCACAGGAAACTTGTGTCTGTAGACTGTAATTGCCTACCCCTTCACCTGCCCGGATAGTAAAAGTATTAAATATTTTATATTACTTTAATAATAAAATATAAATATAATCACGACCTAGGACAGGTTGGATTTGGGCTCGGCTTTGTATTTATCTTTTATTATTGTGAGACTTTGACATTTGCTGACAAGGTCACGAATGTCGATTACTTTTTAATTTGGAACAAAAGAAACACCACTCAACAACTGACCGTACCAGAAGTGTAAATCTTTGCAACAATTTGCGCCCCCTACCCCGCCGTCGGTGTTGCCAGCTCGTCCCCCTCTTGCTGAAAGCCAAGAATAATTCAAGGAAGCCCTCATTGGCCATATACAAGCTCGTTTCCGCACAACAACCACCATTTGTCAATTATAAATCTTATTTTAAATTTGAAAAAGCCCTCAACGCAAAGCTATTGATCAGCATTGGCCGCCAGAACAATATTCTAATCTCATTTGTAAAATTTAAAATTACTAATTAATTTTTCTTATCTTGCATCTTAAATATATAGTTTTTTCTATTGAATAACAAAAATTGTAAAACACTGACTTATAGCTACTACAGTACAATTTAAAGACTTCGAAAATTCATCTATAAGTGTTGAGGAATTAGACCATATGTATGGTTTTATTCTTGCACAAAAATCGATAAAATCAATTAAGTGACCACTCTTTTAAGCTTTTAATCAATTTACAGGGTTTGGTTAAGGGCCTATTTCTATTATAAATTAGAAGGATTGAAGTTGAAGATAATGGTAAATATCCAAACCCCCATATATTTAAGACTCAATATATATATATATATATATATATGACTTAATTTAGTACTTGATCTAAAATGTTTATGGCACATTTGATTCTCGGAATGGAATAATTATTCCATGGAATAATATAGGACGTGAATAAACATATATAAAACTTTCAACCAAGGTTGAGGGAATAAACATGAACAGTTACTAAGACAAAAAAAACATTCAATTCAATGACTTAAAAATTAAAGTTTTGGTAAAATTTCTTCTAGTATATATATGATTAGTAAGAAAGAAAAGAAATGCAAAATCCTTTATTTTGATTTTTATCAACCAAATAATTATTTTGTTTCCCAATCAATTAAAATTATTTTCTTCAGTTATGTAAGGCTTACGGAATTCTTAGGTATTGCTTCTATGCTGGAAATGAGTATTGCGTTTAGCATTACTGAATTGGAGAGTCATTATTAATGAATTTAAACACATGTTTTATTTGTATTAATATAAAAACTTGAGCAAATGCTAGCTTATTGCATGAACCTTCTACCTACTGGAATTAAATCTAAATTTTATGTCTCATCTAATCTCATCACCCCCCTTCCCTCTAATATGGTACCTGACTTCGGATTGAATTTATTATTAGATGCATGATATTTAATTGGCTGGCAATGATGTGAATTAAATTAAGGGTTAGCTTTTTAGTTTTTGTTCTCCTAATAATTGAACGTTAGGAACGATAAGGGGATGAATCTTAAACTTTAATCCTTCGTTTGAGAAAGTAAAAAAGGATTAGGTTAAAAGTGACTCGTTAGGAAAGAGAAAGTGCCTGCCAATTAACACATGATCATGCACACATAACGAAATTAAGACACCCTAGTCACCAATAGTGTGTGAAAGCAATTTGAAATTAATTTCTATAAACAAAGACTAAATTGGTATCATATGTTAAAGTAATTAAGTCAACAAGTCAATGTCTTCTACCGAGTCAATAAAAAAAATTGGAGTGTAGTTGTAGTCACAGGTCAAGTTTGAGCTCAAATTAATATGGGATTGGGTGGCCATTAAAGAAATTAGTTGACAAAAACCACATTAAAGAAAGACTTCAGTTGACTAACAATTTTATTATTGATGTTCGGGCTCTCGGTCCTGTGAAACAAATTTTTTTAAAAAAAAATATCTCTCCAAGGATGTTTACTTAAAATTATAAAACTTGTTAAAAATTACTACTCATTAGCATAAATTAAAATATTAAAATTAAATAAAATATGATTTTACATTACAAATTATCATGTTCATAACTAATAATATGACAAATTTCTTTTCATCAATTAAAACTAAGTATAGTCATCATAAACCATGTAAAGTTAAACACAAAAATCAAATAATCAAATAATATATCTATAAAATAAAAAAAATCATAATTTTAAGATATTATTTGACATGCAATACTATTTTCTATTAGTTAGACTATAATTATGAATCTAAATTATTAAATTAATCAAAAAAATTTAGACATAAAGTATTTAAAAATTTCATTTGGGTTGAAAATTACTTACAATTAAAACCTAGATGAGTTGTTTCGAGAGAGTGAAAAATACAGTCATGACCGAGAAGGGAAATGATTTGAATTTTTAGACAGTAATAGTAGTTTAAGTTTTGATATTTTTAATAAAATCTTAAATTATAGAAGAAAATTTTTTTTATCTTTTCTTTGTAGTATTTAAATATTAAAACATAAATTATTTTTTAATAAATCAATTTTACTCGGAGCTTTTGACCTCACTTTGTATAAACTTATAAAAAAAGAAGTTTATTAGTATAGTAATTAAATCAAAGAGAGCAGTGAAATGGAAGAACACTTTCACTCATCGACAACATATATATATATATAGTACATACCCACCAAAAAAAATAAAAAGTTTTCTTCTTAATGCTTCGCTTCCATAGTGAAACGATGGAGCAGAAGGAATACAATGGAAACCATTCTTCTCGAAATCCAGCAGAAGAGGAGGGAGATCATACTTTGAGTCCACCTTCGTTTTCTTCTCTACCGAAATTAGACGAGGTAACTAAGTAGGGTCCAAAATCATTCTTTTCTGACTTCTTTCTCGTCCCTCATAGACAAAAGGAGTCTAGCTATACTTTTTATACTATTATATTGAGATTTATGCTATGCTTTCTTTTCTTTTTTGGTTCATTTTTCATACTTTTATAGTTTTTAATGCCTTTTTGATGGGTTTGGTTTGTTGGAATTAAGCTGATTTTCTTAATTTCTACGACTATTTTGATTGGAAAATGGAGGAAACAAGCTCTTATGCGTATAAAAGGAAACTTTATATCTATTTTAGTTGTTCTTTTCTTTTGTCTCTGTTGGTCAACCACTAAAGATGTGGACGGCGTAATGGAACGCTGATCTAGCTCTTTTTGTGATTGGATCTGGTCGCCACATCACCAGATTGGCAAAAATGCAAGATCTGACGCTTCCTCAGTCGCATTTGGCTGTGGAGGCACTAGTGCCGCCATTGCCACTGCCACCCTCCACCGCTCTTTAGTGGTGGAGGAAATTTAGGCAGAGAAGAAAAAAGAGAGGATGGAATAGAATATTTTTATTCAAAATTTTGTTGACTCTAGTCCGCAGGGGATGGAATAGAATAACCAATAATATTTGTTATGTGTTATTAAAGAATAACCATTCTTAGGAGTGACTATTTTATGCTATAAAGAGAAACCAAACAAAAGAATTGTGGGCTATGATTTTTTACAAAACCAGCTGCTCAGTGTCTTAAATATTGAACTTATCATATGTGACTCCAACTCTATTTGAGAATCAATTTTAGATTCAGTGAAATTTTTCTGTTAAATGTCTTTTTTTTTTTTGCATGGCCTGTTAAAGTTATTTAGTAGTTAAATTTAAAGTTATCTTTTTTCTAAAAGGCAAACTATGAATATATTAATCCAAAGAGAAAAAGGATCCCTCATTCCATCATTAACAAAAGACTTGCAGTACAGTAAAAATCATTTGCAGGGGTGTCAAGGCAGTCCATAGAGAGACCGGACTAACCCTTAAAACAGAAAAAGCTATACAAAATATTCTGTACGTAGGAAACTCTATGCCAAGGTGGCCTCGTACCGAAGCAAACAAAATGTTATCTTTTGTTATCATCAAATTTTAAAATATAATCTTTATATATTTTGGTTCGTAGGATAGAATGGAATGAATAGAATATGTATTCTATGAAAATAGAATAAGATAGAAATAAAATGAAAATGTTAAATAATGTAAGAATTGTTATTATAACTTATTACAATATCTTGTTGATAATAAGAATTTTAGAATAATAAAAAAATAGATGATAAAAAGATTAAAATATTTTTTGATATAATATATGATTATTTATTTTTATTTTATTTTATTTTAAAATATTTATAATTTATAATTTATTTAAAATCCTAATAATTGATAATTTAAATAGTAATTTTTATTTTTAATTTAAATATTATTATGATTAAAATATTAATAATTTTTATTAATTTTTAAATTTAAAATATGAATTTTTTTATAATATACAATTAAAAACTTAAACTTTTTATTATAATATATGATTATCTATTTTTATTTTATTTTATTTTAAAAATATTAATACCACATAATTTATTTAAAATATTATAATTGATATTTAAATATTAACATTTAAAATACTAATATTTTATCTATAATTTAAATATTATTATGATTAAATATTAATAATTTTAATTATTTTCCTTTTCAAAAAAATAATTTAATTATTTTTAAATTTAAATATTAATTTTTTACAATATATAACTAACAACTTAAACTTTTTATTTTAAATTCTTTGTTTTCTTTTTTTTTTTGGTAATTTTCACTTATAAGGGACATTTTATCTTATTAATTTTAGAAGCTATTCATTCCCCCACCCATGAAATAGCAAATACCACAAGGGAGTTGGGATTAGCTTGCTGTTGCTGCCTTTACACCTTTGCAACAATGTCTCGTTGCCAACAATCATTCTGATAAATGTTTTGCGCAGGTGAAGGCGTTTCCTATGCCTAGTTTTGCAGCTGCTGCTGCTTTTCCGGTAAACGAAAATGCCTACGAACTTTGTATTAAAATTTCTTTTCTTGCATATTAACTATTAGTGCTTTTGCCTGTTTCCTACACTTTCTCTGTCCAGCAATATGTATCTACATTTATCTTCCCAAGCCTGAGGGTTTATGGGATGGGCAATGGTCCTAGTGTATGGTAGGCAGTGGCTTACTCTCTTGTGTGTTCATTGTGTTCACTTTTCTTCTTTTCTCCTAGTATTTTAATGTATTATAGTGGGAGGGAGAAATGAATATGTTAGGAGAGATTCTGGCACAAGAGGAATGAATGTTATAACTATGCTCTCTTTTTGATGTTGACAACAAAGAAGTTGTATGGTATTGCTCGTGTTGGCAGTTTATGATTGTTCATTTTTTAATCTTGTAATAACATTTAAATCATTGGCCTAGCAAAAACAGAATCTTACATATTTCTTGGACAGGCCAAAAACACAGCTGCTAATAATAGGGTGCCTACCTTCAGCATGCCTCCTTTTCAGGTAAATGAAATTTATTTATGATCATGAAATTAGATACCTAGATTAACCCGTTTCATTGCAAAAAGTAGTTAATTAATCTCATCTATAAGGATTTCATCAGTGCAATCCATGTTCCACATTGGTAAATTTCACCCACGTCACCTCCAATTTTTTCCTCAGAGGATGGCTGGCTGGGTCTTACTTTTTGTACATACACCCTTGTCCTGTTTTTTGTTGGGTTGCATATTGCTGTGACAAGTCTTACTTTTTGGTAAGTACAAAGGAAAAATATGCATATGTAATCTCTTAACGCCTGTCCATTATTTTCATTTACTCTTGTACCCAACCAAGCATGGGTAACTTAAAATTTTTCATTTGCTTAATTGCGTTATGAATTTTTCTTATGCATTTTAGCTAGTAAGTCTTATATATTTCTGCATAGGTGATACGAAAATCTCCGAGTTCTGCCTCCTTTCCAACAAAGTATCTTACATATGTTTTTGGACAGTTGATACGAGAATCTCCAGAGCTTGACGAAAAGGCCTATCTTTTGAGAGTGCCTCATCAAATACGGCAGGTAAACGAAAGTGCCTATGAACCCCAACTAATTTCAATTGGTCCTTATCACCTATGTGCTAAGCCGCACTTGATTGAGATGGAAGTGTACAAAAAACGGTGTTTACAAAGGATTCTTGAGAGAAAAGGCCAGCAAAGCAAGGAAAGATGTCTGAACGCCATGAACTTAGAACGAGCTCGCAAATGGTATTCGCCATCCTTATCGAAGATACTCGAGAATCCTATTGCCTATAAGGAATTTGAAGAAATGATGCTACATGATGGTTGCTTCATTGTTGAGCTATTGAGTGGGAAGGTACCGGGTGATGACCCTATTTTCAAACTGAAGTGGGTCGTAAATGCCTTATTTCATGATTTCTTGTTACTCGAAAATCAACTTCCTTTCTTTGTGCTAGTGGGCTTGTATCAAGTGATCAAGGATCCATCAGATGAAAAAGATTTTGCTTGCCAGGCTTTTTCTGTCCTTTCTAATTTCTTTCCAGGGCCGAAGAAGTGGAATAAAAACCCTCCTACCATTAAAGATACCGACAATATCAAGCACCTGCTAAGCTTACTACATGATAATTGGTCTCCTTCTCTTCAAGGAATAAGGCGCCATCAAGAGTACTATAGAACAAAAACTGAACCAGCAAAGGCAGGAGAAGAAGCAAGAGAAGAAGGCGGCCTAGCAAAATGGAAATTCACACTCTGTGCCATAGAAAAGCCAGAAGAAAAGAAATTCCAAGGCGACGAAGAGCGCGGTGTGACTAAGGGCGCCAACCACAACTCCTTCAAATGGAAATTCATATGCTGTGCAAGAGAAAAGAAAAATGTAGGAAAAGGCCTAGTGGAATGGCAATCCTTACGCTGTGCAACAGAGCTGGAAGAAGCAGGAATCCAATTCATGAACACTGAAGAGAGCGATGTGAAGAGTTTGTTTGATATAAGCTTTACAGACGCGACAATGAAGATTCCAACCTTAGTGGTTGACGACTATACCGAGCGTCTCTTTCGTAACCTCATTGCCTATGAACTATATGAGGAAGGTTCAACTTATGTCATTGATTATGTGACATTGATGGATAACCTTATCGACACAGCCAACGATGTGCAAGTGCTTCGTTTCAGTGGAATCATCGAAAATATGTTGGGTGATGATGAAGCTGTTGCTCAAATGCTTAACAGACTTCGTGACCATGTTACACTATGTGGCGATACCTTTTACTACGAGGAGATATTTGTTGACGTGAAGAAGCATTGCGCAAGACGTTGGAACACATGGAAGGCGAAATTAAGGCATGATTATTTTAACAGTCCCTGGGCACTCGTCTCCTTTATTGCTGCTCTTCTCGTTATCCTTCTTACCATGGGACAGTTTATTACTGCAATCATTCCTCTTGTAAAATAACGGCTTGGAGGCAGGCTTGGTGGCTGTAAAATATGGCAAACTAAAGCTCATGCGCTTCTTGCCTTTTAGTTGTTCTTGTTTTTTTCTCTCTTTATGTTTTACTCATTGTTGTTAAAGCTACATCAACTCTGTACTTTCATCGTATATTCAATAAAGTCTTTTATTGACTGATCAGAAATATATATATATATATATATAGCTTAAGAGTAAAATTAAAATTATTACATATAACTTAAATGGTTTATTAGTTCAAATTCTTGGTTTGAGCAATTATAAGGATAGTTATATAAGTAATGGCTTAAATAAATACTTACCCTCAATTTGCATTTTAATATTTAACTTGAGATAGAAATTACTCATTCTGTCTCATATATATTTTTTGTTTGCATAATATTTAACTAGAGATAGAAAATGTGAAACCTTAACCTACGAGTAAGGTTAAATTTGTGATCTAAATTAGTAAGCATGTAAATTTGTGTTTTTTTAGTGAAAGTTTAAATGTTTATGCTTTGGAAAGACATATTTTGGTGATTGAATCGTATTGATTTGAAAGAATGAGGTTTTTGGAACTCAAAAGATTGATTTTTGGCTTAAGTATAGCATTTTGGAGCCAAGGTATCGATACCTTGCTAAACAATTTCGATACTTGTTGCTTGGGATGAGTGAAGTATTGAGACATGTTCATAAGATCTTGATACCTCCAAACTTAGAACCAAGGTATCGAAACTTATGTGAAAAGCATCGATACCTACTGCAAAATTTTGAAAAAAATAAAAATAAAAAATGCAAAATTGTATTTTAATGCAAAAATTATAAATAGCGCACATTTTCTGAGGGTTTGAAGCATTAGCCGAATTTGGCAAGTTTTTCCCTCAACCCCTAACTCTCTTCATCACTTTTAACTCTACAAAACCTCATTTTTTAAGATTTGAAGCTCGGGATAAGTTTTGAACAAAAGGGTAACATTTTTCAACTTTTTGGGTTTTTAAATACTTGATTTCCAGCACCGAAAAATAATATTGGTTCTCTAAGATTTTCACTAAACTCGAAGCAGAAGGGTTTTGTGGTTTTCTAACATCAAAGCTCACCAAAGTAAGGTTAATGTTAGAGTGTTAGCTCAAATGAGTAATCTCAAGAGGGGTGAATTGAAGATTTTAAAAATTCTTTACAATCTTTGAAGAGTAAAGTATTTTTAGACCAAGTAAAAATGAAAAGCTTCTTTTAAAACAATAAGGTAAAGTTGCATAAATCCTTTTTCAAACATTTCAAAGATATTTTAAAGAATTAAAGAAAAAGCAAAGAAGAACACAAGGATTTTTATAGTGATTCGGCCTCTTTGCCTATATCCTTTATCATAGCTTGCCAAGGAGTTTAGATCCACCGTGAAAATTCTTTTTCAAAGTTCAAGCACAACCTTCACAAATTGATCTTTCAAAGGCTTATACTTAAATTTTACAACAGCCTTTTCAAGACTTAAGCTTAACCCTTTTACCTTTCACTTAGTTAAGATATAACCACTCAAATAATTTCTTTTGAAGGTTAAGAAAGAACCTTTACAAAGCAATACAAGGATGATGAGAAACAAGCACGAATTCCTCCAAAAAGGCTGAATAAAATAGCCATTACAAAGAGAGATTAAAGGCTCTTGAAATAGATGAAAAATCTTAAGGCTAAAGTAGTTCAAAAAAAGAACACTTGCATTTTTAGAGTGATGCTTGAAGAATCTTGAGTTTGATCTTGCACTTTAGCTTGAAAATCTTGCTCTTACTGTCCTCAACCTTGGAAAATGTGCCCCAAACCTCTATTTATATGTATGTGTCCTAAAATAGCCATTTAGGGATTTGTGTGTGAAAAAGTAGCCGTTATACATGTCTTTTCGAAGCATGTCCCGATACCTTGCAGCTTTATTCGACTAAGGTCTCGATACTCTTTTGCATGTCTCGATACATGGTTCATCCTTGGCATTCTTAGAGTGAAGGATCTCCTTTCTCCTTTTCCACCGATTGGTAGCCTAAGAGCTCCATATAAAATCCATCTGATTTCCTTTCATATATTCCAGTTGTATTTCACCATTAAAAGCCACCCAAAAACTCTCTCTGAATTCCTCTTAATCAGGTTAGCGTCCTTCATTTGTTAGCTGTCATTGTAATTTGCTTTTGTTACATTTCTATTCTTTAAGACTTCTAATGATCCATTTAGTCAAATCCAGATCTTTGTTTGCTTTTCGTGATGCACGTTGATCTATGGTTCTTTGTTTCTCTTCCCACATTTTCTTTTCTAGGAAACTTCTAGAGTGAAGTACTCTGCCAGAAGCAAACTTGCATTCAAGCCAATTTATGTCACGGTGTAATGCAAACTCAAAATTAGATTTTGATCCCTTGGAGATTTAGTAAGTCGTACTTTGTCTAAGGGAGCTCAAGAACATGAAATTTATGTTTCTTAATTCCACATTTTAATGTCATCTGTAATTGCATTGTCTAATCAGATCCTGTTTTAAGCTTTCCGTCTTATTATGATTATTTTGTGCTTTTGTTTTGTCCTTTGTATTTCGAGTTCAGGGTTCCAGTTTGCATTTCAGGGTAATGTCTTTTATTATCTAGTTCTGTTTCAAATTTACATTTATATAAATTAATTTAATATAGTTTATATTTTAGCTGTCCCCATTCTATCTTGTAGATGTGTTTATTTTTTTAGTAATTAGAATTCATGAAGATTTTTGTAAAATATTACTTTTGGATCAATAAAATTTAAAATATCTGTTCATAAATAAATTTGAGTTGATACATGAGCTTCCTAACATATTTAGCCTAATAAATTCCATGCTAAGCTCAAAGGGTAAAACATTGGGTCGTGCCAGTTTTATATAGCTTCATAAATTTCATACTTATTATCGTTGCACAACAGTGTCGATTAACAGCCTCCAGATTAATTTTGTTATTTATACTACAAAAAATATCATCAAAATCCACGTGCATGATAATGACAGTTCTCCTACCCTCTTAGAAACTTGCGCTCAAACATTTTAGAAAATACAAAAGAATTCAACCACAGATGTGGGTATATATATATATATAATTATGTATTCTTTCTCTTCATATCCACGTTGTTTTAGTGGTCACTCTACTCCTCGTGTTTCTCGTCCTCCTTTTCTCAAAAAGGTGACGAGAAGAAAAACGAAACATCACTTTCGAAACATACCTTAATGTATTCCACAATGTAAGTTACTTGGATTCTAATGCATTTAGATTAGGAGAATTGACTTCTGCCTAGTGTCCGTTTGGTAGAAAAGGAAAAACTGTTCTCACCTACCTGAGACGTTTCATTCTTATTGAAATGTTATCTTATCCACTAAATATTACTTATTACTAATATCCAAGATCAACATGTCAAATTTTTATAAATGTAGTCGTTTATGGTACAAACATCCCTCGTAATCATGTGTATTATAATTAACCGAACAAAAATGATGGCCCATCAATTTAGTTGAAAGAACTTGAGGTGATGTTTGATGGATTGGAAAATTAGTGCTATGATTTTTAAATACGTAATTTATGCTTCGAAAATATGCTTTGCATGCTATTAAATATCCATGCATTTTGAACTGATTTTTATTCATTTCTTTTTTGTAAAATAGATATAGATTTCTTTTCTATGAAGTATTAAGACGAAAATGACAATAGAAGAACTTTTTAATAATAATATAAGGGTGATATAATCAAATGATTGAAAAGATTTTAAACGAAATTGACTTAATACACAATACTATATATGTTATAACTGCTCAAGGTTCTAATATGTTTTCAATAGAAATATTCTATTAATTAAGTACAAAGGCAATGCAATCTCAATCCAATACAGCAGCACATCCTAGCACTAAGCAAGCCCACAATTCAACCATTGACAGCCTCAAGACGTAAGCTAAGCTACAAAAGCTATTAAACCATAGCTGCAAAATCACAAACAAGCTCAAGCAGCTACCATTAGCTCTCCAATGATGCCAATCAATGTCTACTAATATGAAACAAAATAGAATTTACATGTGGTGAGAAATAAAATAATGAGCAGAAACGAGGAAGGGGAACAAACAAAATGGAGATGTATTTGCACATATCATTTAAAATAAATATCCACATTCCTTAAACCAATTCTTAATCATCCACACATTCTACACTCTAGACACTACAAAGTCTAGCAAAACCTAAGTGTTAGGAAAGATAATCCAATCATAATGGAGCATAAAACCCTTCAAGTAAGGTGGAAATCATCAAGTTAGCAGTTGGGTATCGATACCTGTATCTAAGTTACTGATACTTTTAACGTGGTTATTTCTTTTATGTAAATATAATTAATCAAATTAGCAATATAATTTTAGTATAAAAAATAAAAAAAAAAGGATAAAAGATAAAGCTATATAAAAATAAAATATAATTAATCAAATTGGTAATATAATTTTTACTTATTTTTCAGAAATGGAAAAGTAATAGAAAAAAGGTGAAAGTAAATTGTTTAAATATGAAATTTTAACCATATAAAAATTTAATGAATTAGCTTTGGGCCTACAAATCAGACAAAAATTTTAAAATTTTTTTTAAAAAGCAATATTTTTTTGAAATCTCAAAAATTAATATGTCATAATAAATATTGAAAGATTAACTTCGAAGTTTAAGAGTTCTCTACAATTACAAAAGTTGTGAACGCTCAAAAAGGTGGTTGACAGCACCTACTCTCTACTATGTCCTCTAAACACATATGAGCCTAAGCTTCTCTACTGGAAAATGGCATACAGCAAACTTGTTGAAGAAACAAAGTAGGCTTAAAAACGAGCATCACAAAAAGCAGATTAGTGGTAAAGTAAGGAGCACTAGCGGCTTGCAGACCCACAGGAACTTGTGTCTGTAGAGTGTAACTACCTTCCCCTTCACTTGTCCGGATAGTAAAATTATAAAATTTTTTATTTAATAATCAAATATTAAATATAAGCACGACCTAGACAGTTGGATTTTTTTGTTTTGGGCTCAACTTTGCATTTCTCTTTTATTATTGTGAGACTTTGACATTTGTGGGCATGGTCACGAATGTCGACTACTTTATTGGAACCAAAAAACACACCCTAACAAATAGAAGCGTTAATCTTTGCAACAATTTGCGCCCCCCTCCCCCCG